GAAGACATCTCGCATGTGACGCAGCACTTCCAAGCCGAACGCCCGACTCACAACAATCTTTTTGTTTTGCTAGACAAAGACGCGCAACCAGTGAGCGGGCGCAGCACGGCGGGAGAGCCCGCGAGTGCACGACATCAACCACAAATCACGGAAAAACGCTGCGCAAACAATGCGGTGCAAGGTTGGCAGAGCACTGTTGCTGCGTCATGTTTTTGCGCTCGGCTTCTGCGTGGTGCACGCAGTCGTGCCATCGCGCGCCTGCGTGAGCCGCGCGCGCGCGCACCGCGATTTCGTCAGAACGGTTGCGCGAGCCGTGCGCTGGGCTCTGCAGCGAGGCGCGCGCCGCGATCGAGAGTTCTGCGTGCCAGGGCCGCGCAAAACACTGCGCGCCACACGCGCGCCGCGCAGCACGTGCGAGGCGGCGCTCGCGCGAGCCGGTGCACAATTTAATATTCGGCGCCCGCCCGCGCGAGTCGTGCGCCGACGGACGCGGGTCGGCGCGAGGCGTGCGCGAGCTAGGAGGAGCGCGTGAGATTCACACTGCGCTCCCGCGCGGTCTTGTGCCGGGCGGTGGCCGAACCGGGCTTCGCGGGGCCTGGCTTGGTGATGCGTGCGGGGGGGCGCCCTCCCCGCCCCGTTCCACAGGCCGGAGCCGCCGCAAGCCGAGGGAGCAGCAGCTCACGGCAAAGCTGGTTTCGTGAGTCTGGCCAGCTCAGGGGCTCGAGGGGCCCTACCACTGACGGGGTCCCCGTACCTAGAGGGTCTGGGCCATACCCGATGGCGGCGGAGGGTTTCCGCGGGGGACGTTCTCGCTCCGCGTCTGCAGTCGCGCGCGGCGCGCGCCAGCGCACCGCGCCGCGCTTCCGCGCCCCAGCGCGCGGCTCGCGCCGGGAAAGATGATGCGTCGGAAGGGGCCTGGAGGTGCCTCTGGAGATGCTGTTGCCTTTCGCAGCCGCGCGGGAGTTTTCGTCTTGGCCGTCGAATCTCTTGTCAAGGCTGCGACGAGCACAGAAAGGATTCGCGCATCAACGGTTGAAATCCTCTCCTGGGTGGGATTCGCCCCCTCCTTGCCCGTTTGGATCTCGCCTCTCTTGCAGTCGTGCAGGCCTCCCTCTGGCGTTCAGAAGCCGCGAGAGCTCGGGGGTGTAAAGGAGAGGAGAAGAGAAGGCGAGGGAGGGAGAAGGGGGGAGTCAGGAGAGAAGGGCTAAGAGAGGAGAAGGCAGGGAGGGCTGGGAAAGAGAGGAGCAAAGGGCCTGCACGTACTGCGGGGAGGATTGGCCGACAGGGGCGCAGCCAGGACCCGGAGCGCCGACGAGACATCGCCAACACATCGGCGATCGACCTCCGATTGGCCCCCCTTGGGGGGGGGTGGCCCGCGTCCCGGGGCACTGGGCATCGCTCGGACGTCCATTCCCTGTGTTTTTTTAGGTTTCGTGTGAGGTTTTTTCGCCAAATGATCAAGGATGCTCCTCGATGGTCCTCGCCGAAGGAAAAATGCACACGTCCGAGCGATGCCAAGGGCAGGTACCCAGGGCCCGACCAGCGTGGATTTGGCCACTGGGGGTCAGTGCCCCCCCCCCCCTGGGCGCGCCCCCCCCCCCCCCCCCCCCCCCCCCCCCCCCCCGCCCCCACCCCCCTCCCCCTCCCCCGCGCCCCCCCCCCTGCCCCCCCGCCCCCCCCGCCAGCCGCCCCGCCCCAGCCGACCCTCGTCGCCCCCGCCGCCCCGCCCCTCCGCGCCCCGCCCCATCGGCCCTCCTCCTCCTCCTCCTCCTCTCCTCATCCTCCTCCCTCCTCCTCCTCCTTCCCCCTCATCCTATCCTCCTTCCTCCTACTCATCTCCTCCTCCTCTCCTCCTCCTCCTCCACTACTCCTCCGCCTCCTCCTCCTACTCCTTCTCCTCCTCACTCCTCCTCCTCCTCCTCCTCCTTCCTCCTCCTCCTCATCCTCCTCCTCATCCTCCTCCTCCTCCTCTCCTCCTCCTCCTTCTCCCTCCTCTCCTCTCTCCTCCTCCTCCTTCCATCCCTACTCCTCCTCTCCTCTCCTCCTCCTCCTCCTCCTCTCATCCTTCCTCCTCCTCCTCCTCCTCCTCCTCCTCCTCTCCTACATCCTCCTCCTCCTACTCCTCCTACTCCTCCTCCTCCTCCTCCTTCCTCTCCTCCTCCTCCTCCTCCTCCTCCTCCTCCTCTCCTCCTCCTTCCTCCTCCTCCTCAGCTCCTCCTCCTTCCTCCTCCTCCTAATCCTCCTCCTCCTCCTCCTCCTCCTCCTCCTCCTCCTCCTCCTCCTACCTCCCCCTCCCCCCCCCCTCCCCTCCCTCCTCCCCCCCCCCCCCCCCCCCCCCCCCCCCCCCCTGGGCGCGCCCCTCGGCCCCCCCGTGGTTGCCCCAGCTCTTCCGCTCCCTGGCCGTCGCGCCGTACAGTCGGGGCGTTGACCTAGGGAACCCTAAATCAGGAACGAGGCCCCTTTTTTCAATGAGTTAGACTTCGATTCCCCATCGAAAACCTAAGGACAACCTAAGGCAAACTGCGAAACAATTAAGGAACACGGAGCCCTTCCCCAACGAAAAGGGTTCCTTGTTTAGCGCCCCGACTGTACAGCGGAGGCCAGTCCACAAGAGACCTTCCACTCAGGTCGGGCGTGTCCTCCCACAGGCGGATTTGGGACGAACAAGTGTAGCATATCCCAACAATAAACAAGAACACGAATCATACGATGAACTATGACAGAATCGTCCCCATGGTATGTTTTGACTGTTTTTGAATGCTCATCCTGTAGAAGGACAGGCCCGACTTCACCTTCCACCAGAAACCCGGCCCTGAGACACCAGGACGTCCATGCGCTCTTGGTGTGGGAAGGTCACGCTGTCCATCGCAAAACCAAACTCAAGAAACCCGGGGCACCCTGGAGGCAAGCGTTAGGTCGGGCGTGTCCCCCTACAGGTGGATGTGGGGCGAAACATAAAAATACTTATACATATATACACACTTATGTTGCTCCCATCGTACTTGAGGACCACATCCCAGAAATATTTTCGAGCACCCAGAAAAGTGTCGAAAGAGTGTCGAAACAGTGTCGAAAGAGTGTCTTCCAGGGCTCGACACGTGAAAACCCTCGAGTTTTGGGGTGTTTTCTGGGTGCTCGAGATTCATTAGGGTGTTGTTGGAACATCATAAATACACACCAGCAAATAGCCAACATGTTTCACTGTTTCTGAATATTCCTCCTGCCGAGGGGCAGGCGCGATTTGAGGCAAGCAGGGTGCTTCTTGGCACGGGCCTCCACTGTCACCCGGGCCTCCGGCGGCCGATCGGGGGCGATTCGGGCCCCCCCTCCGGGAACGCCCTCGAAGGGGCGCCGCTGGTGTTGGGTCGGGCATGTCCCCCCTGCCGACGGATTTTCAAGGGCTCCCAATTTGCTGAGCGAAGCGCGAAGTGCGAATGACTTCGCGCTCTCGCGCCGCCTCCCAGGGGAGAAGAGGAGGATGAGGAGGAATCGGAGCCGAACCGCGAAGCGCGAATAACTTCGCGCCCTCGAGGGCGCCCTTGGATTTTGGACGAAAAAATCAAAACTGTCAAAACAAATTGCCACTGCCAAGAAGAGAAGAAAAATCGTCCCCAGACTGTTTTCCGGCTATGCTCTCCTACTCCTCCTGTAGAGGGACAGGCCCGACTGAAAGCTGGTGGGAGCCACACCGGGCCTCAAGAAATTTACGAGACATTTCTGACGGCACGCCGCCCCAGAACGCCCCCGGACGAGGCGCAACGAATGGAAACCACTCCAGCCCCAGAAAAAGGTTTGTGAGCGCTTTTTGATTCGGCGTTTCGACATTCGGCGGAAAGGGGGTGGGGGGAGGGGGGGTCTGGCTCTGGACCTCTGCTTCATGCGTCTGTTTGCAACAATGCGCCCCATGGGGGAGACTCCACCTGCCTGAAACAGGCGCCGAAAAACAGCCAAGATCTGCTCCATTGAGGGGAGGGGGGGGTGCGAGGGCCCGCGCCGATCGGCCAAACAGTGCATGAGAAAACGACCACTTTGACGACTTTTTTGCGGGTCGGCGGGCTCCGACGAGGCAGGTCCACTGGCCAAGCTCGGGAGCGGCCAAGAGGGGGGTGTCCAAGAGGGGGGGGTGCAAATCATGACCGGCGGCACGTGCGCGGCCCAGTGGGGGGGCCAGGGACGTAATGAAATAAGAAGGGGCGCCATGAAATCTGGGGAAATATCATGGCCGCCGCCATGATATCCACCCCCCCCTAGTCATCACCCCCCTCTTCTCCGCTCCCGACAAGCGTCGGGAGTGGCGCTCTGGAGGCGAAAGAGTGCCCAAAGGGGCCGGGCAAGGAGGAGAAGCGGCGAAGGCAGAGCCGCTGTCCGAGCAGGAAGGCCGGTCTCCCTGGGCGGCCGGGTCACGACGTGGGCTGCTTCGGGAGGCGCCATGGGGCCACCTTGGGCCGTCATGGGGCCCTCTTCGGGCCGTCTTGGGGCCTTGCTGGGCCGTCTTGGGGCTCCTCTTGTCGGGGAGACGTAAGACCTGGGTACAGGGGACTCGGAAATCCCCGACGAGGTCGTCAAAAAAATGACGAGGCCGAGCCTGCATTTTGACGAGGCCTCCCGCTGCAGACATCCCACGAAACTCCTCCTCGTCAAAATCCGAGGCGCGGTCGTCAAAAAACGATTGCGAACCCGAGTCCTGGCAAACCCGGGTCTTACGCTCCCCCGATCTTGGAGTGCCCGGGAGCCTTCTTGGATAGATCTGGGGCGCGAGCTGCGCAGAGAGCGCGCAGAACGAGACCACGGCAAACGGGGCGCACACGAACGGGACGTCCGTGACCAGGACGAGGTCGAGACCGAGCGGGCACGGCACGCGGGCGAGGCCGAACGCGAAGCATCCGGCAGGGCGGCCAGGAGAAAAGAATTGACCAGTAATGCTTCCGCACGCGAGCCCCTGGCGGTCAGGTGAGGACTGCACTGCCCAAGGTAGAGAATATGCTGAACGACCAGAACACCGCAAAACGACGACCAGGGACAGCAACAACCGATGCTGCAAGGAGGCGGGGGGACCCCGAGCAGCGTAGACTGGAGGGCCGTGAACAAAGTGAACGGCAACCAGGGGGGCCAGGAAGGCGCCGCCGAGCTTGCCGAAGAGCACCGCCTGGAGCGCAGCGCCGGGCTTATGGCCGCGCAGCTCAGAGAGGCTGCGGCCAGAAAGACTGGCGGGGCCGCCGTAGCCGAGGCGGCGCCGGTGGGGGGGGAGAGGAGGAGAAGAAGGAGGAGGAGGAGAGGAGGAGGAGGAGGAGGAGGAGGGAGGAGGGGAGGAGGAGGAGGAGGAGGAGGAGGAGGAGGAGGGGAGGAGGAGGAGGAGGAGGAGGAGGAGGGGGAGGAGGGGGGAGGAAGGAGGAGGAGGAGGAGGAGGAGGAAAAAAACAGGAGGGGGGGAGGAGCAGAGATGAGCTGAGGCAGGCACGAACACTTCGCGATGGCGCAGCGGTGAAAACCGGGGGGGCGAAAAGTTCAAACAGAGCAGAACTACGGGGCGAAAATCCCGAACAGCGCGGGGAAGGGGGCATGCAACGCCCAACGTGCACTGGACCCCAGACGGCCAGGAAGCAGAGAACCAGCACCAGGACCAGGACCGGCACGCGCCAGGGAAAAGGGAACGCCAAGACCCGCGCGGCCCGCCGTCGCCACTGGCTCCTGCCGCCTGTGGGGAGCGTACCCGGGGTGAAGGGGCCCGTCTGGCCCCCTCGCACGTCCCCCCCGGACGGGCTCGGGACAGGCAGCGCGTTGCGGGGCCTCCGTGCTGCCGCTCGCGCGCTCACGCCGTCGGACGTGACAGGCTGGGGGCGACTGGCGCGCCAGAGGCGGGCCGCCTCGCACGGCGCGTTCTCCGCCCAGCCCGCGCACTCGTCGAGGCCGGGTCCGGGAGGCAGCGCCCCAGGGCCCTGCGAGGGGATCCTGCGCGGCGGGACTCTCTCTCCACGTCCGCCGACCCACGCCCGGGTGCCCCGGCAGGCGGTGGACATGCCTGTGTCTTGGCCCCCGGGGGCCCGAAAGTACCCCATATATCCACCGCCTGCCGAGGCCCCCGAAGAAGGATCCTTCAGGCGGTGGTCGTGCATGACTTCCCGCCTTGGAGGTCGGGGCCCTGGGCCGAGCCGGGGCGACGCGAGGCGGCGAGCGCAGGCGGCGCCAGAAGCAGCCGCGGGGGTGAGCAGCCGGGGCTCGGGCGCCGCAGGGTGCCTCGCCCTCTTCCCGAGAGGGGAGCCGCCCCGGCCACCCCAGCCCTCGTCCCGCATCTCGCCTGGGGTCCATTCGGGTACGTCCTCCCACAGGCCGTATTTTGGAAGACCACTGGAAGAAACAATACGTAAATGAAACATCGAAGCATCGCACCCAGACCATTGTTTACTACAGTCTTGAACTCTTCCTCCTGCAGGGGGGCACGCGCCCGACTCAAGCCTACAGGGGCGCCCGCCCCCCCGCCCACGGAGAGAGGCGTCAGGGGCGCCACGGTGACCCAGGGCAGCGACGAGGCGGCGCCGGCGCAGGGCGGCGCGGCTGCCATGGGCAATCCAAACAGGCGCGCACAGGCCGGAGGTGACGGGGAGGCGGGCACGTGGTCATGCGGAGTCTGCTTCACCAAGGGCTTGTGCGGGGCGCGCCTGCAGTGCACGACCTGTGGCACCTGGGCGTCTCCTGGAGTGCGTGCGCGGCTGGAGCGGGAGGCCAAGCGGCGCAAGCTGGACCGGGAGAACCAGGGCAAGGGCGGCAGGAGCGGCAGGGAGGGAAGCGGCAAGGCGGGCGGCAAGGGCGACAGGGTCCCCCCGCCTCCGCCGTGGGCTCCCTGGTCTTGGCCCGCTCCGGGGGAGGCAGGCGGCTGGCCCAGCTATTGGGCACCGCCCCAGCCGCCCACGCTCGGAGGATGGCTGGACGCGGCCGCCCAGCAAGGACAACAAGGACGGCAAGGGCGACACGGTGTTGGCGGCCGTTGATGCTCAGGTCCGTTCATTGGAGGGCCTCCTCAAGGCCGACGGCGACAACGAGGACCTCGCGAAGGCCCTCGCCGGCGCCAAGGCCAAGAGGGAGCAGCACCTGGCTGCTAAGCGGGCCGCCCGTCCAAAGGGCATCCAGCTACAGCAGCTGGACGACAAGATCACGGGGGTCAGCAAGCGGATCGCGGCGATCCAGGAGACGGAGCTTGTCAAGCTCAAGGAGCAGCGTCAGAAGGCGTTGGAGGACTTCGACCAGCAGATCGCGAAGCGGCAGGAGGAGCTGGAGCAGTGCGAGGCCCAGCGCACCTCCTTCCAGGCGGAGCGGGTCAAGCTCGCCAAGGAGGTTCAGGACGAGGGTGGCCCCGCCGTCGCTGCCCCCCACTTCGGACCGCAAGTGGTGGCCGATCTTACGCAATTCCTCGACCAGCTGCCCACCGTGCTCGCGAGCATGCAGGGCTCCGCGGAGGTGCAGCAGCGCGTCCAGGCCGACATCGACGGTCTGCGGGCGCAGTTGCGCCAGCAAGCTGGAGCAGCAGCTGCGGCTCCCGCTGGTCCTGCGGATGATGGTAACGGCGGTCAGCCTGCTGGCCATGTTGGCCCCGTCGGCGCAGGCAGCGCAGGTGCTGGAAGCGAGCGCGTCCCCGTTCCACATCCAGAGGCGGACGACATCAACATGCAGCAGGAGTGGGCCAACAGTGCCGACGTGGACGAGGCCGAGCGCATCAAGCGGAAGGAGCAGCTCGCCGGCTTGCAGGCTTACGCCGCCTGGAAGCGACAGCGGAAGGAGGGCCAGCCGCCTGCCGCTGCCGCCGGCGCCGCCCCGGCCGCAGCAGGCGCTCACACGACGGGCGGGTAGTAGCTCAGGAGGTCCTCCGCCCCGCAGGTGCAGATTCCGATCCAGGGCCCATGGGCAGAGCCTGCTCCAGCTGCACCTGCACAACAGCAGCCTGTCGTGGCGGCGCCTGGAGGATTTCCTCCAGGACCAGGGCGCGAAGGCAGTGCAGGAGGGCCGACTGCCCATCGTGTTGGGTCAAGAGCATGGCAAGGCGGCGCCATGGTTTGCTGACGCCGCTGCTGGGATAGCAGCCAAGGGCTGGCGCGTGCTGGGCGCCCCGGCCAAGCCCACGGAGGGCGGCAGCAGCGCGGGCGTGTCCATCGCCCTGCCCACATGCTTGACCGCGTCCTTCGCGCCAGGCCAGACGAGCTGGGACATCAGCCCTCCAGGAGGCGAGGGCAGATTGGCGATGGCCGTTGTCACCATCCCGGGCCTGGGCGCGATGGCCATCTTCAGCGTCTACATGGTGACGTGCATGAAGCTGGACGCCGCCGTGAATGCGCAGATCTTGGACGTCATCGCCGAGTGGGTCATCCAGCTACGGATCCCGTGGGTGGTTGGCGGTGATTGGAACAACCGTCCAGATGACTTGGAGCGCAGCCCATGGAACCAGGAGCTGCGAGGCTGCATCAAGGCCAAGGCCACTGCCCACCCGGAGGGCACCTGCAAGAACAGCCAGGGCGACCACAGCACCATCGACTTTTTCTGGCTAGATTGCAAGCTCGGGCAGGCCTTTGGGGAGGTCACTCCGCACGTGGAGATGCCGTTCAGGCCGCACCGGCCGTGCGTGATGCAGTCCACAGCGCCCTGGAAGGCGTTCATCGTGAAGCAGCTGGAGGAGCCATGGCAGTGGCCCCTCAAGCGACCAGGCACGAAGGAGGAGCAGGCAGAGGTGCAGCACCCACCTGTCCCGCCGCTCACGGGCACGCCGTCGAAAGACGGCCTGGACGCAGCGTGGCCGGTCTTCTGCGACACCGCCGACAGCCAGCTCCAGACCATTTTCGGCATGTCGGACCTCCGGGCCTCGAAGTATAAGGGTCGGGGGCAGGCGCCACGCTTGGTTGAGAAGGAGCTCCTTCCAAAGTGCCCGAGCGCGGTCAACAGCAGAGGCCCCGCATGGGCATGGCGGTGGCTGTCGGTGGAGCTCTCGTGGATTGGCGTGGCGGCCATCCACGTCGTGAGGCGGGGCCTGCCTGCCGGGTCCCCGCCAGTGCTGGAAAGACGGAGCGGCGATGAGGTAGACGGCAGCGTCCAGGTCAAGCAGTACCAGGCGGCGGTCGTCAGGTTGCAGGCGTCTGTGCAGCATTGGGCACTCATGGACGGGATTGGCCACCACCTCAAGGCATTGATTATGGGCCTATTGGAGGTGCCCCTCACGGTGGACGTCATCCGCGTGTTGGAGGGCATCAAGGAGGCGGCGAAGGCACGTGCGCAGGAGTGGGAGGTGGCCGTCATGAGGGATATGAGCCGCAAGTTCCGTGAGAAGCTCGACGAGAAATATCCGGGCTCGGCGGGCCTGCTGCACAAGGTCTGCGCGTGGCGTGCTGCGTGGCTCCCACCGCGGGGCTCCGTCAGCAAGGCTGCTCTCCCTGCTCACCCCCAGCAGGCGGTCGAGCAGGAGGCAAAGGAGTGGGGTGCCGTGTGGCAGGCGGAGCAGGGCCCGTACGCCAAGCTCTGGGTGGGCCAGGGCCGCAGCCTCGGCACCATCGACACCGCGCGGCTGCGCAAGATCTGCAGGGCTTACAAGGAGCGCGCGGGCGTCATCGGCTGGCACCCGAGACACTGGAGCTGGCTTAGCGATGACCTGCTCGAGTACTTGGGCGTGATGTTGGAGTGGTGCGAGCAGCTGCGCGCATGGCCCACAAGCATTCGGCTCTTGGTGATCTTCATCTTGGGCAAGACGGACGGGGGGGGAAGGCCGATCTGCCTGTTGCCCACGCCCGTCCGCATCTGGGAGGGCAGCCGCGCCCACATCCTCGAGGCTTGGGAGGCGGAGAACAGCAGGGACTACGACTTGGCGGCCCCAGGGAAGAGCAGCGAGCAGGCGGTCTGGCGCGTCATGCTGGACGACGAGGCCTGGGGGGATAGCGGCTTCTGCTCGACCAGCGTCATGCTGGACGTCACGAAGGCGTACGAGCACGTGTCCCTCAACCTGCTGTGGGTCTTTGCCATCATCATGCGGTGCCCTCTCGACCTCGTCGGCCTCGCGCTGGAGGCCTTTTCGGCCCCGCGCTACCTGCGACGGGAGGGAGCAGTGGCGGACGCCGTCACCACCTTGGTTGGCTTGCCGGCAGGATCGAAGTATTCGAATAAATTGCTGAAGGTGTTCATGTTCTGGGCCTTGGACCTGGTACTTAAGGGGTGCCCCTTAGCGCAGCTCATCCTGTACGTGGACGACATCACGCTGCGGTTGATGCACTCCGCACCGCACCTCAGGCGTGAGGTGATGCGAGCTCTGCGCTTCCATATCGTGCTCCTGGAGCAGGCTTTGGGGCTTCCGCTAGCGCGGGGTCCCGAGGGCAAGTGCGTCTTCGTCGCCAGCACCGAAAAGGCCAGGGACCTGCTGCAGGCACCGATGCTGGAGCTCGGCATCAAGGAGGGCAGCGTGGAGCGATGGCTGGGCATTGACTACAACCCGCAGCAGAATCGCAAGAGCAGGCCCACCAGGCAGAAGCGGCTGGCAACCGCGAGGCACAGGTGGAGGAAGGCCGCGTGGCTCCGGCGAAGAGGCATCAAGGTGCGCAGGTTCGTGTCCCAGGGGGTCGCCCCCTCCTTG